GCAATAGTGAGCTTGATAATCTCGCTGGCTGAGTTTAGTAAATAATGATAAAGTATCATGAATAAGGGCTGAATGGCGACGTAAAGAAAGAAAGAAAGAAAAAAACAAAAGAAAGAAAATAGAAAGAAAGAAAATAGAAAGAAAGAAAGAAAGAAAGAAAAGGAAGACATAGAAAAATATGAAAGCAGAAACTAGAAAGAAATACAAACAGAAACATATAAAGAAAGAAAATAGAAAAAAAAAACAGGAACTAAAAAGAAAGACATAAACAAACAAAAAGAAAGAAGCAGAGAAAATAAAAAAGAAACTAGAAAGAAAAAAAAAAGAAAGAAAGAGCTAGAACGAACTAAAACGAAAGAAAGAACAAATAAAATATAGAAATATAAACTAAATGGAAAGAAATAAAGAAAGACGGAATAAACTAGAAAGAAAGAAAGAAATTAAGAAAGAAATTAAGAAAGAAAGAAAGAAAGAAAGAAAGAAAGAAAGAAAGAAAGAAAGAAAAATAGAGAAACCGAAGCTCGAACCAAAGAACGAAAAGAGGAAGAAAAGAAGCAATGAATGGATGAATGAAAATAGGAAGAAAGAATGAATAATAATATAAAAAAGAAAGAAATAACAGAAACAGAAACCAGAAAAGAAGAATAAACGAATGAATGGATGAAGGAATGAAAGAATAAACGAATGAAAGAATAAACGAATGAATGGATGAAGGAATGAAAGAATGAATGAAAATAAAAAGAAAGAATGAATAATAAGAGAAAGAAAAACAGAAACTAGAAAGAAAGAAAAAATAAGAGAAAATAGGGAAACAGAAACTAGCAAAAATGAATGAATGAATCTAGAAAGAAAGAAAGAAAGAAGGAAGGAAAGAAGAAAAAAGAAAGAAAGAAAGAAAGAAAGAAGGATAGAAGAAAAAAAAGAAAGAAAGACATGCTTAGATTGTTGCCTATTTCGCACTGAACTCTGGTAAACCTGCAAAACTCCGAATGCAGATTTTAATGAGATTCAGCTCCTCCCAACTTGAATGAATGACGCAATATAATCTTCCTACCCCAATTTACCACCCTTAACCTTACGTTGATTTACTACTTAATGTCTAGTAAGCGAAAGATGCTTAAGAAAAACAAAATGTGACAAAAAAAAAAAGCAACAAAGATACGGAATAAATGTAGTGAAATGTCGTCGCTTATTGTTGGCTTTTTCCCTCCGAATTTTGTACCCAAAATCGCAATATGAAGCAACATTTTGATAACCGTTTTAATACTAAACGCGTTGCATCGGCTGCTCAAGGCGCTGATATTAAGCCGGACTCACAAAGTTCACATTTTGTTTTGTTTCACTCTTTTTATCTTGTCGACATTTTATTTCACAAGGTTCAAGTGCTGCGTGAAGAAACGATTGTCATTCGCAAAAAATGAAAAAAAAAAGAAATTTGTGTATTTATGTATTATCGTAGCGCAAAATGTGTATGAACAGTGTACACTTATGTGGAGCGTCCATGTATGTGTTGTGTGGATATCATATAGGTGTATGTGTAGTGTTTGTATATTGGGAAGAAGATTGCGTTAAAATATATATAAAATGTTTTTCAACACTAGGCTATTGACGAACACACACAAACACATATTTATATATATTACCGTAATTCCCCATGTATAATACGCCCTCATCTATAACACGCATCCCTAAAATTGTGCTAAAAGTGTTGGAAAATGCTTCTACTCATGAATAATACGCACCCCTTGTTTTGTAATCATACCCTATAAATTGTACCCCTCCAATTTCATTACGGTCGGCGTTTGTTACTCTTATTTAAAAAATGGTTTTAAATATAGAATAATATTATTCTAATTTAATTTTATGATAATTCTTATTTTATTTTACAGTTTTTTAAAGATTTTTTTAGCTGTGCATAATACGCACCCCTGATTTTGCTTATTAGTTTTAGATAAAATGCGTATTATACATGAAGAATTACGGTATTAAATTTGTCAGGTGTTCCTGCTGTAGATTTAGAGATTCTTGATAAAATCCAAAGAATGTACAGAAATAGATTGGTTGCAAGGTCTCATTATTTTACAGTTGAGCTGGCTAAATGTAACCGTAAGTTCTATGCTAACGGTTTCTTCCCTCGCACTTCTCGCTTGTGGAGCTCTCTTCCGACTTTTTGCCTCCCAGCCATCTTTGATCTTCAAAAATTTAAATTCAATTCTAGCTCGTTTATTGCTCTCTCTCTCTCTCTCTCTCTCTCTCTCTCACTCTCTCTCTCTCTCTCTCTCGTTAATAGTATTTTTGTTAGTTGATGAGTCCAAAAAGTTCGAAGAAGGATAGTCATTGCTAAGACGTACAGCCTTCATTCGCTTGAATAAAGGCTGCATTTTTAACCATTGGTCTGAGAAAGTGGTGTTATACAGCTGACACCTTAGATATGATTCTGAATGAATTTGGTACCATCATGCATAACATCTTATATGAAAGTCTCGATCAGACGAGGCTATTTAAGAATATAACTTGAGTTTTAGGTTAATGTTTTGAATTTGTAGCAATTTACGGTGTTGGGCGAAACTACCCCGACCGCAGCTTATATACAATTCCCTGATCTCTTATACTAAATTTGTAATCATTAATTTTTAAGGGGTCCACTCCTTTTTATACAAGTGGACTCGCCCAGTGTGTACTTGTACTGCTGCCGGTGAATACCCGGGAGTGAGAGAGTAAGAGAGGGAGAGTGTGAGGTAACCGCTTTGTAGGAGTCACAGTTGCGAGCACGTAGACTCAGAAAGAAGTCATACTTCGATACTGAATTTCCTAGACTGTATATATATATTATTATTGCTACTAACCGCATTTCTGGATCTACTAACCGTATTACCAATTGTATTATTACGTCAATACATTTATTTGCTATATTTCATTCCTGCGTTTGTCATTTATTTGAGACCGGATTTCATCCCGGAATCCACAACACTAATCCATACACCGAGTTATTGGAAGTGCTTAGTATTTACGAGTTCATCCGTATTTAATTTAATGCAGTTGATGATTAGTCCTTTCTTCTTGCTTTCCTTTAATACGCTGTCTAGAAGATCCTGTAGTTTTGCTTTTTATATCTGAAATCAACACAGTATCATATTATCAGCAATATTATTGGTCCTGATCTGATATCTCGGCTTCAGGCATTCTCCCACTGCCGTAAAGTTGTCTCCCTGTGCCTTTTCTATAAATAATTTCATGGTAATTGTTCAGATGAGCTCTTCCTCATGGTACCCGCACCTTATGAATTTAAGCGCAGTACTAGACTGGCAGTGAGGTCTCAGTTGAATCGGTTAGATGTAACCGTAATCTCTATGCCAACACTATCTTTTCTCGCACTTCTCGCTTGTGGAACTCTCTTCCGGCTCCATGCGATCTTCAAAAATTCAATTGCAATGTCAATAGTTATCTACTGTTTTTCTGATCACACTTCTGTTGTTCTTGTTCCTGAATCATTCTGTTTTCTAATTCTTTCACACCCAGTAACACCTTGTTTCTTAGCGACCTTACTGCCATTCTTGGTAGGAATTCGATTAAAAAATATCTTTTATTTTTAAGATTAACACCCACCTATAATCAATACTAGTAGGGTCCCTCTTTGGATATCCTCGCTGTAAAAGTTGTACATCCTTTTCTATTTGTGTGTACCTTGCATCATTGAGTAAACAATAAATCGAAGATGAAATGGATTATAATATGAAGTTTGAAAAAATCAGATGTATTTTGGCCAATGATTTATTGAAATATAATGCTGATGAAGCGTTATTAAGGTTTGACAAGTGATTTATTCATACATTCTGTTATTCTGTCTTCCTGCACTTGTGTTATAGTGGGACACACATATTCTATAGTTAATAGACTCTCCCACCTATAATAAGTAAGAGTAACGGAAGTCGCTCAGGGAGTTGTTCAGTCAGTCGACTGACTGATCGGTTGAACTCTCTGCCTTCGGGCGGGGAGGAACCCGAAAGAGGCTACGCCGAAGGGCGGATTCTCTTTCGGGGAGGTAACTCGACCCTGAACCCGTTTATACGGGTTCAATGGGCATATTTTTGGCCGAGCCCACGGGCTCAGAGATCCCTCGTTAAACCGGCCTTGTGCCACATGATGCCCTCGTGGAGGGGGGACTAAAAATCGTTGTTCAGTCAGTCGATGCCGGACGACCGTGAGTCGGATACTAAAGTATCAGCGACCACAACTAGATTTACTCTGCGTCATACCTATTATATCAAGTTCCTAACGTTTTGTACGTCGAACCTATTTTAGGATCGACTTAGTACAAATACAAGCCTCCACTGTGAAACCACTCTACAACAACTTGATAACAGAAGAATGCTTAGATTACCACGTTCGACAAATTCCCCGCAACTAAAGAAGTAACCTAGAAGTGGTTCTACAGAAAGATGCTGAGAATACCATGGAAGGAGCCTGTAACAATTAGGAAGATTTTAGGAAAATGGAAACAAATATTAAAAAGAATATGTTAAAATATTAAAAAGACAGTTGAAATCTCTGGGACACATGATGAGTAAAAAAGGCCTAGAAAATGTGACACTCGCTGGCATATTGAGGTCAAGAAGGACAAATGAAATCAGCGATTACATAACTAAGGATATTACTAAAATACAGACATTGCTAAGAGCTACGAAGGATAGGAAGCTGTGAAGAGCCATGAAAGATTGATTGATTTGTCTTTTTACGGTTCATCAAAGCGAGAAAATATTTTTAGATTGTAAGAATTTATATTCAGATAATAATGACTTACTAGCAGAATAATGACTTACTGGCAGAATATCTACTAACTAACCCACAGTTGGAGGAGAAGTGGTAGATACATACCTTTCCCCGGGGGGGAGAGGATTTGCAGGTAAGTTAATAGAACGAACTCAACTGGAAATGGAACACGGCACTCAGATTTTCAATTCAGAGCCATTATCCATTACACCACTCGCATATCCAAGCTTACTTCACCTGATATTCTCAAGCGGTCACCTATCTTGATATTTACCAGGCTCGACGTTGCTTAACTTCGTTGATCTTACGAGAAACTGTGTTTCAACGTGATATGGCCGTAAGCCTCGTCCTGAAAGGACATGACGAGAAGAAGAAGAAGAAGAAGGCTTAACAGAATGTTCCTAACCTAATTTTACCTTCATTTTATACCCTATAAAATACTAAGCTAAGCTTTGTAAATATCCACTGCGCGCCATTTTGATTGTTCTGCATACATATTAAAGAAAAGAATTTCAAGAAGAGGATTATGGCGGAATATAAAGCGTTAAATCGGGTGTGAAACATGTGTATAAATGGACAAGTGTCGGACGAGAAATAGACAAGGCGAGAAGAATGAATCAGCTACTCAACAGGAGAGAGAATAATTTTTTTTTTATTTTTCTTTATTCAATGTTTAAGTTCATACTAAACAAAGTTCAGCAAGCGATTTATTTTTACCTAGACCATCGTTGAAAATATAAACTGGATTTTCACAAAAACACGCACGCGTTCACACACACACACACACGCGCGCGCGCGCGCGCACACACACACATATTCTTATAAAATCGTTCCCAATACAACCCTCTAGTAAAATTATATCCACATTATAAAATTTTATATTTAACCTTTCACCGGAAAGTAGTAAATTAACCAAAACATAGAAAAATCCTTGAAATGTCTTTCACAAGACATATATATATATATATATATATATGTGTGTGTGTGTGTGTGTGTGTGTGTGTGTGTGTGTGTGTGTGTGTGTGTGTGTGTAAAAATATAGAAAATAGGAAAGAACTCGTTAGGTAAATAATACAAAGTTCTTTAGCATTTTGTTATTATTTTAAAAAAACAGTGCTCGATAAAGAAGTAGAGCCTAAATATAATTATTTATTTAAAAATATGATTCCATCTCTACATAAGAGTTCTCATGTTTCAAAACAAGAGCCGAAAACTTCAATATAATTATTTGAATTAAATTGAATTTAAGTTGTTTTGAAACATGAGAACTCTTATGTAGCGATGGAATCATATTTTTAAATAAATAATTATATATATATATATATATATATATATATATATATGGAGGGTTGAACAGTAAATTGTCGCCATTTTATATTTTAATTTCGCGCATGCGCGTTGTTTATTTTGATTTTGTCGACTGCACAGTGTAGTAGGCTCAGCTGGGCACCGTCTATGAGAAAAAGAGCGCCATGACGCAATTCAAAGGATAAGCGATCTTAAATCCGAAGAAGAAGTTTTGAAAGCTCTTTGAATTTAGTAGTAAGTACTGTCAAGCATCCGTTCAGTATAATGTTCTGGGAAGGCTTTTCTTTTCATGGAACTGGTTTCTTAAAACTTATTGAAAAGACCCCCAGGAGCGAGCAATACAAGAGAATTTTAGAGTCTTTTCTGCTCCCTTCTGCTGAAAGGTTGTAAATCGACCCCACCAAGCTCATTTTATACAGGATAATGTTGCCTGTCACAAATAAAAATTGATGAAGGAATACTTTGATGAGAATCAGGTGAGTGGTATGACATGGCCGCCCCAATCTCCTGACCTCAACCACATAGAAAACTTATGGAGCATGTTGCTCAACTGCTTTCTTGAGAGCCTGTACTTTATAATGCCCTGGCATCATTCGGAGATTCAACTCCTAAAGCCATTGGCGCATGGCAGGGATGAAGATGAATTTAGACGTATTTATTTTTAGACAAACACGCCAGTCACTGGAGAACTCAATTCGTCTTAACGAAGAGTCTTACATATATATATATGTGTGTGTGTATGCGTGTGTGTGTGTGTGTTTATGTGTATGTGTGTGTGACTGACACGCTACTTCTTCTGTTAAGTTTTTTATTGCATTTTACTTGTATGTAAAGAAGATTTCTTTTTTTAACTTAATGTGTGTAGAAATTGTACAACTGTTCGGTCTGAGCGCTTTCGGCTAATCCGTTAACATAAACTACGAGCATGGCCAAAGTACACTGGCTGTATTTGGAAATTAAAAATATGTCTACCTTTCAGCAACTTACAGAAATCCTTCAAATGGTTAATAGATTTGAAGAAAGCGTTCGGAACGGACAATCATTTCAAATATTACCATACTCATTTAATCCCCTAGAAGAAATCTCTTGTTTGCATACAATACAAGAAAATACAATAAAAATAAGTACTTTATTAGTCATTTTTAATGAAAGGTGTATTAAATGTTTCCTGTCCAAATACTATGTATCTATCTATCTATCTATCTATCTGTCTATCTATCTATATATATATATGTGTGTGTGTGTGTGTGTGCGCGCGTGTAAGAGAGCCATTATTATTATTATTATTATTATTAGCTCATATCTGCTAAAACAATTTAACGTCATTATCATATGAGACACCGTATGTGTCTTACAGGAAATTATCAACTGCATATAAAAACACGTCGCTCCTAGAGTCAACGTTATCATTACTTCAATGTACTTAGCCTTTAGCCGAATCCAGAAAGCAATCGCTTGACACGTTTGATAAGTGACATTGATTGCAAAGAAAAGAGGACTTTATAAAGAACGGGGGACAGGTGAGCTCTACTCGCATAACCGTACCCAATAAAAATGCTCACACACACACACACATATATATATATATATATATATATAACGTTAGTACAAGTAACGTTTATATATATATATATATATATATATATATAGTAACGTTACTATATATATATATATATATATGTGTGTATATATATATATATATATATATATATATATATAGTAACATTACTATATATATATATATATATAATAACTATATATATATATATATATATATATATATATATATATATATATATATATATATATATATAGTAACGTTACTATATATATATATATATATAACGTTACTATATATATATATATATATATATATATGCATATATATATATATATATATATATATATATATATATATAGTAACGTAATGCAGGGTTTGTTAATCTGTGTGGATAATTCCAAAGAGGATATAATCCAGAAATATATATATATATATATATATATATATATATATATATATATATATATATATTACTTCTTACGTTATTATAATGAACACTTCCTATTTGAAACATTTTCATTCGTGAAATCTAAGTAAAGAAAATTTGTCCACCGCAGCGCTAGTTTTCTAGAATGCTACGGTTAATAGACGTATTACACACTGTTTAATAAATAAATAAAAAATAGGGCGTCTATTTAAAATAAGAAGTGTCAACGATGATAACATTTGAAGTAATAAAAATGTCGAATTCAAAATAAATCCATTTATTCTTTTTTGTATGAATGTACATTTATTTGTGTGGATATATTTACATTTTTGTATGAATACAATACAGAACATGTTGCTCCTATGTAGATAGATATAAAAAAAAAACTTTAATGTACACACTTTTGTGTGTCTATATAAATGTGGAGGTATACATATATTTGCATATGTGAATATGTCTTGTTATGCGTGTACACTTGTATTATATTTGAAATTGCGTATTAGATGTGTACGTTTGTATTTAAATTAGACTTTTTTATTTGGAGGAATGTAAGTGTGTGTATACGTATTAGGTTGGTGCAAAAATAATGACGTAATAATGTCGTTTTTTGACGTTAAAATTACGTCAAAAAACGACATTATTACGTCATTATTTTTGCACCAACCTAATATATATATATGTGCATATATTATTATGTTATTTTATTACCCCTCCAGACACACCGTAAATAAATAGACTGTTCCTCTATCATTACAGTACAGTATAAATATCAGTGTTTAAATTATGCAACTGTCAGTTTTCAATTCGCTTCTGATGATTGCATTGTGCATGAAAATTGTGCTGCCGGTGATATATATATATATATATATATATATATATATATATATATATATATATATATAAAAGTGAACATTGAAGTGAACACTCAGAGGCGACCGGCTGTTTCATGCTTGACGCATGCCAGACGCATGAAACAGCCTGTCGCCTCTGAGTGTTCATTTCAATGTTCACTATTATTTTTATATTTACATACGCTATATCTCTGAAATTTAGCAGTTTATCCCATAAATATAGCACACCTTAAAACTATCTGCGTTAATGCAAAGCTCTTCAGTAAAATGAATTGGAGCACTCCGGCTGATTGACATTCGTTTTCATTCGTAAAAACAATACGCTGGATTTAGTTGTTTCTCTCTGACGAATGAAGATAGCTTAGTGGTAGAAACTCTGAATGATCGGTTTGGTTTCGATCCATGCTTGAGGCATTTGGTTGTCTAGTTGCACTGAGGAGCTGAGATACAGTGAAACAGTACTGTCTGCGAATGACACAATATTTCTGCATATATATTACTTAACTGTACATATATGAATTCTGATGTTGTTTCTTTGACTTCAAAGTTTCTTGGAAATATATGGTCTGCTGTTTGAAACTTCAAAGTCGGGGAAACAGCATCAAAATTGATATTTACAATTAAATAATATTTATCTATATAATATTATCAATAATCTATTTTTAATATTGGGCACTTTATGAAAATATCTGCTTCACTTTTGAAATATTATATATATATATATATATATATATATATATATATATATATATATAAAGGGCTCACTACACAATTCAGAAAAATTAAATTTGTAGAGCTGGTAATAAAATATATGATTAGGAAAAATACACGCGTAACACACTACTTGAGTTTATATATATATATATATATATATATATATATATAGAGAGAGAGAGAGAGAGAGAGAGAGAGAGAGAGAGAAAGTAAAAGTAAAATAAAATCCGTGGTTATATATTTCCTTGTAATATAAGAATTTTAAAATTGATCCGCAAAAAGAGAACTCGATGCATTTTATTTATACAGAGCAATATATATATATATATATATATATATATATATATATATATATATATATATATATATACAAGTATAGGATTGGTGTATACGGAATAAATGCCAATAACCAAAAATACTATTCTTAAAAGAGTGCTCAATGCAGAGTAGAGCAAATATAATTATTTATTCGAAAATTATA